GAAATATATTATGTAAATATATTATATTATGTAAATTCGACGCGTTAGTTCTGCAGACCTTCATTGACTGGAGATATTAATGATCTGTTAATGGAAAAGTTCATGATCATCTACAATCTCTTCTAGATTTACCGAACCACTAGGGACCGGTTGAACCACGTTTTGATATTTAGGGACTGAATGTTGTAATCGTCTCTCAAAAATTCCATCCCATGCGCTCCATGAAAACATGCAATTCGACTAATAATTCTCTTTATTATTTATTTATCGCATTTAGAATATTTTACATTAATTCCCGAATTCCCAGTCTTTAATTTCCATCAACAATAACGAAAATTAAATAAGATACACATGACAAAATATTTTTAGTTGATCTACATAGAATTTAATAAACCAAATTAATAATTAATTTCCAAATTTCCAGTCTTCCATTCAAAATCCATCAACAATAACGAAAATTAAATAAAATACATACAACAAAATATTTTTAGTTGATTTATATAGAGTTTAATAAATCAATAGATTTTTTAAAAATCTTCAATGTTTTCAGTTTTTTGAATTTTTAAATATTTTGATTGTATAAATAAATAGGAGAACTCGTTTGCAAAAGAAACAATAATTTTTGCGAATTTGAGATTTCAATATTTAGTAATAATGAAAATTCAAGAGATACTCAATTAAGAAATTATTGCCAATATATTTTAATTTTTCAATGAAAATGAAAAAGATTAAAATGCTATTTCGGAAATAATCAAGTTTTTCAAAATTTTGAAAAATTTTTTTCAAAAGGGAAAGGGAAATTATTGATGTGGACTTACATTCGTTGATTCGGGGAGCTTCGACTCTTGGGTTCACGTCGTTCATTATTGCCGATATTTTTCTATTTTTCAACGAAATTGAAAAAAATCAAAATGCAATTTCAAAAATAATCAAGTTTTTCAAAATTGTCTGGAGTTTTCAATATTTGAATTACTAATTAAATAAAATAAACTTCAATCATCACTTGGTGAATGCATCATCACTGGATCTCCAGGCACGCACTAGCCTGAAGAAATTCCCCCTATAAACCGAGGAATCAGGTGTCGCGGAATGCCTAGGGGTGACAAAAAAAGGGGCATTGGTTTGTCCAGGAGGCGTCAAAATATTACGCCTAGCCAAAAAAGAGTCCAAAATCTTGATGCTCTCATACAAGCTCTCAACATCGCAATAGCTGTAGTGTCGATATTTCCGATGATGATTTTTCCAAGGAAAGGACATGGTGGGTGTGTTAACAGGGGTACTAGACAGAGTACTCGAATCAGAGTTTACATCATCAGAGATGATCTCAACCTCGCTGTATCCAGGATCCGGACTCCTGGCTGGACTGATAAAAGACAATTGCGTGAGGAAGCTGTCCCTGGAGCAAGTGGATGGCGATCTGATCCTATCACTCCTCGCGACGGTTATCAGCGGTCCATTAACAACAGTTGTTGAAGTAAGATTAACATTCTGCGTAATTGGTTTACCAGTACCTAATATCTTCAGGATTTTTGCTCTCGCGTCGAATGCCCCTGGTCTCTCCACCTGGGTGGAACACCCACAAGCCCCTTCACAGGAACACATCAAATTATTATCCCCTCCTCTTCCCTCTTCTTGCCCTATTGAGCTTTCGACGGATACGCAATTCGTATTTCTCCCAGCAACGATCGAATTCCGCTGCGAATTACAAGCTTCAACGGTCATATTTGAATTGTATTTATTTATATACACACCAACGGTTTCAGCGTTTATCGATGATACGGAGGATACATCAGTACCTGGAAGAGAACTCTGACGATGCCAAACTCGACGGGAGCGATTGCGAAAGCTCAGGGGCACTGAGATATCTAGAATTTTAAATAAAAATATAAATATTCGAATGGCTCGTGACTGGGGGGAAATAATTACGAGAAATAATCAGGGAGACAACTTACGGAGAATATTGTTCCTCGATATCGTGGAATTTCTTGGGATGGTACCCGGGGGAGTCATGTATGGGGGTGGTGGACTCTCAGGAACTCGAACATTAGATACCGTCTGTGGGGTTTCGCTACTTCCGCTCTGGCTGATCTCATTAATTAATAATGTAAAACATTAAATTATATCATTCCTTCCAATTATCGCAATAATAATAACAATATGTTATATTTATTATATTAAAAGAATTATATTATTATACTAATAAATACTGATATAATAATATAATAGTGTTATTAAAAGGGGAAGGGAAATAATTTTACATTAATTTTCGAATTCCCAGTCTTCAATTTCCATTAACAATAACGAGAATTAAATAAAAGACATAACAAAATATTTTTAGTTGATTTATATAGAATTTAATAAACCAATACAATTTTTAAAAATCCTCAATGTTTTCATTTTTTCGAATTTCTAAATATTTTGATTTCGATTCTATAAATAAATGATAGAACTCGTTTGCAAAACAAACAATAATTTTTACTAATTTCAGATTTCAATATTTATTAATAATGGAAATTCAACAGATACTCAATTAAGAAATTATTGCCGATATTTTTTAATTTTCCAACGAAAATTAAAAAAATCAAAATGCAATTTCCGAAATGATCGAGTTTTCTAAAATTTCTGGAGTTTTCAATGTCTCATTAATTAATAATGTAAAACATTAATTTAAATCATTCCCTCCAATTATTACAATAATAACAACAATTTATTATAATAATTATATTATATTATTATACTAATAAATACTAATATAATATTATAATAGTATTGTTGAAAGGGAAAGGGAAATTATTGATGTGGACTTACATTCGCTGATTTGGAGAGCTTCGACTCCTGGGTTCACGTCGTTCATTCTTCCTCTTGACTTTTTTCCTCCTGGATACAACTTCATTCTCAAGGCCAACTTTGACAACTTCGTCGTACCCAGGAGGAGCCTCGTACATAGGTGGATCATCGCTCACTGATATTTCGTCGATTCTCGCACTATCTGCAATATCAAAAACTAACCGATCTAATAGTGAGACTGTAATTCAAAACTACAAAACTATAGATTAAATTTTAATCGCGATGGAAGTATTGATGGGTAATTGATTGATAAAATTATTTTTTCCATTTAGATTGATTTTTTAATTGCTTAAATCCAGTGTAAATTGATGATCAGTCAATTGTTATATTAAATTATATTAGATATTGAATATTGAATAGGATGGACAGGTGGTGGATAAATTATAAATTTATAAATAAATTATATAAAATTATAATAGTACCTAGAAGTTACCGACGGTAGTGGCCGTGCGGTTAGAGTGCTAGACTAGCATGTCAAGGATCCGGGTCCGATCCCGGGCACCGGCGGTCAAAAATTTATAGCGCTCTGATCTCTCGGTTTCACTGCCGAGCGGTAGTCCTATCAAAAGGACGACTGTACCAGAGCAGGTTTTTCCCTCAGATGAGGTTTTCCCTCCCTTCAGGAAATGCGGTACAGGGGGTTGGGGGTAGGAAGGGAACAAATCGTAAAGACCCGAAAGGGTATACGAGTGAGAGAAAATAGTACCTAGAAGTTCACTGATTGTTTGCAATCGGGATTGAAGTTCTCGCTGCTGTCGTGCTCGTGCTCCCATTCGATAGAGGAGAATTATGAGAGCCGATATGAGAATTATGAGGCCCAAACTACTTGCCACGAAGACGAGAGTCGCAGTCTTCAAGTCCGGATATCGATCAATCTTCGGGAAATAATAATTCGCCTTGTTCATGTGCCATTTACGGTCCTGTGGCTCCTCCCGCCAAGCTAGTTAGTCAAAGAAATGCCCAAAAATTCAGTAAAAAATTTATGTAATTAGATATTTAAATAATTAGATAGCCTGGGGATTTACTTCTGAAGCATGTGGCAGGCTCGTCGCTGTTGTCCCCGCAGTGATCGAATCCGTCGCAATTCAGTTGACTCGGGATACATCGATGATTGTGACACAAGAAATCGGAACTCGAAAAACAATCTGAAATTTTTTAATTCGGATTATATCAATCATAAACTCAACGTCTAGAAATAAATATACTCATTACTTTGATAAAAATTGTTTCAATTTTCAAAGTAATCTGAATAATTAATTAAGGGCCGGATGGAGTATCTCGGAAAGATAATTTACTCCAAAATTGGGATTCCTAATTACTCCCACAATTAATTGTTTTTTCCAATAATTGTTAGCTAGCGTTCTAGTCGTTGACAACCGCTAGAATGCTAACTAACAATTATTGAAAAAAAAAAACGATTAATTGCCAGAGTAATTAGCAATCACAATTTTAGAGTAAATTATCTTTTCCAGATAATCCAACCGATCCTTAAAACAAACAATTAACTCTAACTAATTTTTCTCATCAGTTTCAATGATGAAATTCATCAATTTGTAATTTACAATTTTACCAATAAAAAAAAACAAATTAATACGTCATTTATTAATTGTATTATGTATCTGGCCCTCCTCCCCCCCCCTCAATTTCCAGTCAATCCAGAATTTTTATTATTTTCTCTTTGAATTCGAGGGATTCCCAAAATAAACAATGATTTTCAGTAAATGATGTACCCATGTATCCAAAAGCTGCGTAAGCAATGGCGACCCTGGACGTAGAACTGAATGCACCCCGAAGACTAACGTGAAATCCACTAGTGATGGGTGCAATATGTTCTCTCGTCCTGGCTAATTGGACCTGGCCAGGATGCCTCAATATCTCCAGAGGTAGTAGAGCTGAGGTGGGGCCTTGCCTAATGATGAG